GAAGAGGAGGAGGAGGAGGAGGAGGAGGAGGAGGAAAGAAGAGGAAGAGGAAGAGGAAAGAAGAGGAGGAGGAGGAAGAAGAAGATGATGAAGAAAATGAAGGGGAAGAAAGAGAGAGATTAGCTGCCTAATGATTTTTTTGGTCCATGAGACCCAGTTAGATACCCTGCAATTTATTTCCATTATAGTCTCCTATTAATAATTCCCTGAGCTTCTTTGTGTGAGTCTCTTTGCCTTGTAACCAAATGAACCCTTACTAAGTCATCACCCATGGAATACCATGCATTTGCTGCAATTGCATTTGGTACAATATGACAACAGTCAACTAATCGCTCAGTGTTTTGAACACCTATTAGGTAGACACCCCAGTGATGTGCAGTAGGGGTTATAAAGAGAACTGAGCCATGGTCCTTGATCTAAAGGAGGTGGTTTTTTAGTGCATCATACATGTAAAATTTAGTTTGGGAAGTAAAATTGACACAGACAAAACCAGGAACAAATACATGACACCACAAAATCAAGTGCTTGGCTAGTTGAACTAATTCTAAGGGCAGTATGAGTTCAGAATTGGGAATTTAAGGAATTCTTTAAGGAAGTACGGGGCTTAAAGTTCACTTTGAAAGAACTGTCAGGATATGGATTGACAAGAAAGAGTGGGGGGCTGGGGAAGAGGTGCTTTCCAGTTGCTGAGAAATGGCACTGGGGAGGATGGTGAAGCTGCAGACTACAGAGAGTGGATGAAGGGGTGTGTAGAGTACAAGGAGAGAGTTAATTGATCTAGTTTTTAAAAATTGCTATTTTACTCTCTTTCCAGACTTCATCTGAGATTCCTTCTTTAGCCAACATACCTTAGCCCTGAGCACATTTCCTCTCCTCATCTTTCCCTTTTTCCTTTTTCTTTTCTTTTCTTTCTTAAGTTGTTTAAATTTAAACCATTATTTGTGACTCTCTTTCCTGGGAGAATCACTGCAAGGAGAATGATGGTGCCATGGGAAGGTGACCCATCTGTCTGAACCTAGAGGTTCTTCTATGAGTTAAATAACTTCCCTGGTGAGCCCAGGTGAGTCTTCTTGTCTCTAGTCCCTTGCAGCTGAACTTCACCCCTTGGCTGAGCATTGCATACAGCTCATAGCCCTCCCCCTTCCCCTTCCCCCTTCTTTTAGGCTCCCTTCCCCAGGAATTTCATCACTTCCTAGAACTGCCAAAACATTTTTGGTATATTTCTCTCAGTTAGTGTTTAACTAAACATCTACCTTTAAGGAATGGGCTGAACTGATGGAAGAAATATTGATAGCCAGAGACTCAAGAAGACAATTTCTGCAGGGTGCCTCCCTGTCTTCTGAAGGGGCGAGAAGGAGGGCAGTGGACTGTTGGCACCGGGGTGAGACACAATGGAATCTGGCTTCACCTCCAAGGACACTTATCTGAGCCATTTTAACCCTCAGGCTTACCTAGAAAAATATTATAGCTTTGGGTCCAGACACTCTGCAGAAAAACAGATTCTTAGGCATCTTCTGAAAAATCTTTTCAAGATATTTTGCCTAGGTAAGTTTGTCTGTTGTCTGTGTGTCTCCCCTCCAAATGTGAGTCATAGAGAGAGAGTCTCAGGGCATGACTCTTGTGTCTAATCATTGTTATTTGACAGCCCTTTTGGCATCACCCATTCATTTAACCAGGATAAAAACTAACATTGGGGTGGATACTTTACAGTTTACAAAGTGCTTTTATATCCATTATCTCCTTTGGCCCTGCAAGAGGGTAATCTAAAAACTGGAGTTCTGTCCTTGATTCTACATTGATTTGCTAGGTCACTAGCCAGAGATTTCACTTAAGAAATAGATTCTAGGGACTTCCCTGATGGTCCAGTGGTTTAAGACTTTGCCTTCCAATGCAGGGGGTGCGGGTTTGATCCCTGATTGGGGAGCTAAGATCCCACATGTCTCATGGCCAAAAAACCAAAACAGAAGCAATATTGTAACTAATTCAATAAAGACTTTAGAAATGGTCCACATCAAAAAATAATAATAATAATTTAAAAAAGGAAATGGAGATTCTAGTAATTATTCTATTCCTAACTCAAAGGCATGTTGTGAATGTGCATGAGATAAAGACCTCCCATGAAGGGAGGATGCTTTTTGAAGAACTGGATGTTTCTTGGAGAAAGACATTATAAAAACTCAATTTTTAAAAAAATTTAACTTTCTCTCAAAGCATTCCTTAATAGTTTTTACATTATCTGTGTGGCAGTCTTTCTGGAACAGGGGTCTGTACACCAGATGCAGATCTTTTTTTTCCTCCTCCTAGAGCTAAAAATATACCAGCAACATGCTCTACCCTTGAATGGGGAATGGAAAGTAAAAAATGTTTTAAAAAGAGACATTGAGGGAAGAGGGGTGACTAGAGAGATGGTCTGTCTTTGGGGCTCTCCTTGGGGCTCCCCAGCATAGTCCTGGCAAACAGAGTGCAAATCAGCTCTATCTGCCACCATATTATGCCTGACCCCCTTCCTCATTCCCTCCTGTAAACCAGATGGTGTGAAGGGAGACCTCCTGATCGACATTGGCTCTGGCCCCACCATCTATCAGCTCCTCTCTGCCTGTGAATCCTTCAAGGAGATCATCGCCACTGACTATACTGATCGGAACCTGCAGGAGCTGGAGAAGTGGCTGAAGAAGGAGCCAGGGGCCTTTGACTGGTCCTCAGTGGTGACCTATGTGTGTGAGCTTGAAGGGAACAGGTAGAGAAACTCGGGTCTTCTTCCTGGCTCTCTTAGGGTACCTGTGCGCCAGTTCATTTTTCAGAACCAAAAATTATCCTTAGAGTCCAAGTTGAAAAGCAAAGGAAACAGAGAGAGAGGGACCAAAGAGAAATCCAAATGGAGAAAGAGAGAGCTAGAGAGAGAGAACGAGAGTGAAGCACATGCGTGTTGTGCGCACGCGCACGCACGTGCATGTGTGTGTGTGTGTGTGTGTGTGTATGTGCACCAGAACTGCAGAAGACGTAGCTGAAAAAACTGAAGAGTTGGTTACTGAGCCAAGATGAGTGGTCACAAAACCTTTCCAGGCCTGTGTATGGATGCAGTGTGCAGGCCAGATATTGTAGGACCTTGTTTCAGGAAAACTTCAAGTAAGAGGCCAAACCAGCTCCTCGCTAGAAGGTTTCAGGTCAGGGCTTGCCGCCCTAGTGACATTCTGTTGCTAGCCATCCAAATGCATAGATCTCTGCTGTGAAAGTGGCTAATGCTGGCACCGCCAGATATAACAAAAATCTGACTAGGTTTTTAAACTGAGATTAGCAGCATAAAAGAATTATTTGAAAAGAATTTGTTACTCACCATCCATAAAATTAGGGCTTTATATATTGACAACCAATGATCAAAATCTTATAGTACCCTATCTATAAGTAAATTTAAGCAAACAAAGTTTGTTTAAATTACTAATTTCTCTCCATGCAAGAAATTGGCAATAGACTACCAGCCAGAGGTGAAGAGTCGAGCACTTCACTTTGTTATTCCCTTGTCCCATTCTACAGCCCCGCCGACCATCAGTGCCTGGAGCATCATGGCTTTGCTGCTATGAATATTGACAAGACCCCAGAGACTCCTTTGTAAATGGCACAAAAAGACCACTTTTGTGTTCTAGTGTTTAGCAGAGGAGGTCCCTTGTCTCCTAGAGCTCACATCAGGGAAGGCAGGCACATACCAAATCATTTAGGGCCTTCAAGGCCAGGTTAATGCTTGTGGACTTCAAGTGTAACAAGAAGACATCAGAGGTATAACTAGGACAGTGATGTGACCCAACTTACATTTAGAAAGATCTCTCTGGCTATTGTGTAGAGAATCTATTGCAGGTTTAGAGAACAAGAGGTGCAGAAGGGAGAGATGATGGTGGCTTGGACTAGGTGATGGAGAGAGACAGAAGGTTTTAAGGTGAATTTTCGAGAGAGAATGAATAAGAGTTGGTAGTGACTGGTTAGTGGGAATGAGGAAAGGGAAGTATCAAGGATGACTCCCATGTTCCTGAACTCGAACAACAGGGGGATTGAGGTACCATTCCTGAATCCCAAGTATGAATATAAGATCATGTGTTCTCAACATGTCGCTCAGGAGTATGCCTACCTCCACGTTCTTCTGGAGTGATTGATGGTCAATTCATTTTTCTATACTTGCACTTATATTTGATTCCCATCTATTTACCAACTTTTGTTTATTCCTGAGTCAAGTTCTCTTCTGAAAATTTCTCTAAAGTCTGCTTCTATTTCTTTAACCCTCCCATTTTCTTTTAAAGGTCTGCTGGCTTCGGCTTATTAGGAGTATTCTAAACTGTATATTCATTTTCTTACATACTGTTGCTACATTGTCTTATTGGTAGTAAATGTGGATTGTCAAATCTAAGTTATCAAGATGACTCATTGGTGGTACAATTCCTTATAGTACAGAAGTATGAATAAACTAGAAGTTTTACCTTGTGTTCCCAATTAAACGTTTTGGTATCATGCTGAGTCACTAAACTTCCACTGGGTTTTTTGGTCTTTTATTCCCTTTACCAGGGATAGTAAGTATTGAAATCAGAGAGTTTGAGTCCTCCAACTTTGTTCTTTGCAAGATATTTTGGCAAATTTAGTGCCATTACTTTTAGAATAAACTTGTAAATTTCTTCAAAAAAAGTTTACTGAGGGCTTCCCTGGTGGCGCAGTGGTTGAGAGTCCGCCTGCCGATGCAGGGGACACAGGTTTGTGCCCCGGTCTGGGAAGATCCCACGTGCCGCAGAGCGGCTGGGCCTGTGAGCCATGGCCGCTGAGTCTGCGCGTCTGGAGGCTGTGCTCCGCAACGGGAGAGGCCACAACAGTGAGAGGCCCGCGTACCGCAAAAAAAAAAAAAAAAGTTTACTGAGATTTTTATTGTAATTTCTTTGAATTTACAAATCAATTTAGGAGAATGGATATATTGCATCTCCAGTCCATGAACATGGTTTGTCTCTACACTTAGTTAGGACTTCAGTTTCTCTCAGTTCTCATATTTTGCATATATTTTGTTAAAATGTCCCTGTGTTTCATGTTTTTTAATGCTACTGTTGATTGTACCTTTTCAATTTCAATTTCATTTTATTAGTTTCATCTGCTAGTATATAGATGTACAATTGATTTTTTGTTTATTAGATCTTGCTGACTTCATTAATTTCATATTTTATTTTATTTTTTATATTGAAATATAGTTGATTTACAATACCTGTGTTGGTTTCAGTTGTACAGCAAAGTGATTCATTTAACATATATATGTATATATCTATATTCTTTTTTCTATTCTTTTCCATTATAGTTTATTACAAAATATTGCACTAATTAATTTTAATCATTTTTGGTAGATTCCATAGTACTTTCTATGTACATTCTTATATGATATACAAATAAAAATACTTTTACTTCTTCTATTTCAACTTTATGCCTTTATTTTTTATGCCCTATTACATTGACTAGGACCACCAAAACAATGTTGAACAAAAATGATAAGAACAGACATTTGTGCTTTTTTCCATATCTAAGGAAAAAATGTTCAATGATTCATCATTAAGAATGACATTATTTATAGGTTTTTCATAGAAATTCTTTATCAGACTAAGTTCCCTTGTATTTCTAGTTTCTTGGGGGGTTTTAATCAAATGTTAAAATTTGTCAAAAAATTTTTTTGCATTTACTGAGATGGTCATGTGATGTTTCTCCATATTCTGAGAACATGAATTATGTTGGATGATTTTTGGTATTTAAACCAAACTGGCATAAACCTCTTGGTCATGAAGTAGTAATCTTTTTATGTATTACTGGATGTGATTTGCCAATATTTTTTTTAAGGATTTTTGCATCTATATTTATGAGGGATATTGAGCTATAAATATATTTTCTTGTTATATGCTTGGCAGATTTTGATATCCGCATGATGCTAATTCATATAATAATTTGGAAGTGTTTCTTCCTCCCCTAATTTTTGAAGGAGTTTGTATTATTTCTTCCTTAAATGATTGATAGAATTCACCAATGAAGCTACCTGAACATGAAGGTTTCTTCCTGTGTGAGGAAGTTTTTTATTAAGAAGAGTATTCCTTTAATGACTATTTGGATTGTCTATTTCTTCTTTTGTCTGTTTTGATAAGTACTATTTTTCAAGGAATTTGTCCTTTACGTCTCGGTTGTCAACTTTATTGTCATAAAGTTTTTTTTACAATATCCCTTTATTACTCTTTTAATGTCTGTAGGATCTTTGGTGATTGTCCCTCTTTCATTCTAAAATTGGCAATTTGTCTTATTTTTTAATCTTGATTGATCTTGTTAGAGATTGATACATTTTATTAATCTTTTCAAAGAACCAGCTCTTGGCTTTGTTGATTTTCTCAGTTGTCCATTGTGTATTCCATTGATTTCTACTCCTATTTTTCTTATTTTCTGTCTTTCACTTACTTTAGTTTTAATATGCTCTTCTTTTTCTAGCTTCTTGAGATAGAAGTTTAGGTCATTTATTCTCACACTTTCCTTCAGCACTCTTTTAGCTGCATCCCATGATTTTTGATGTGTCATATTTTTGTTATTATCCAATTCAGCATATATTCTAATTTTATTTGTGATTTCTTCTTTGACCATAAATTATTTGTAATTGTGTTGCTTAATTTCCAAAATTGTTGGGATTTTTTCTAGATATTGTTACTGGTTTGCAATTAAATTTCATTGTAGTCAGAGTTTTATTTTGTGACCCAGCATATGATCTATTTGGCGAATCTTCTATGTGCTCTACATTGAAAAGAATGTATATTGTCCAGTTGTTGGTGTCGTTTCTATAAATATTAATTCAGTCAGGTAGATTGATAATATTGTTCAAATTCTCTACATGATTTTTTGTTTACTTATTCTATCAATTACTGGGAGAGAGAGATGTTAAAAATCTCAAATTATGATTGTGGATTCATCTCTTGCTCCTCATAATTCTGTCAACATTTGCTTCATGCATTTTGAAGCTTTGTTATCAGCAGCATACACTTTTGGGGTTGTTATGTCTTCTTGATGAGTTGACTATTTTATCATTATATCTCCCTTTACCTCCAGTAATACACTTTGTTTTGAAGTCAACTTTGATATTAATATGGCCACACCAGCCTTTTTATTCTTGTTGATGGCATAAGGTGGTAGGGGCCTCTAAGATGGTCCCCACTAATCTTCACTTCATGTATTCATGCTCTTGCTTAATTCTCTCCCCATGAATATCCATTGGATTTAATGACTGGATTCTAACAAATATGGTGCTGTAGAGTGATGGGACATCAATTCTGAGATTAGGATACAAAGAGACTACAGCTTCCCTATTGGGTGCTGTCTCTTACACTCACTCACTTGTCCTAAGGAGTGAGTTTGGAAGCAAATTTACCCCCAGGTGGGCCTTCAGATGACACTGGACAACTCTGAGAGTGGCCAACGCTGCAGTCTCATGAGGGACCTTGCACCAGAGACACTCAGCTAATCTGTACCCAAGTATCTGACCTGCAGAAACTGTGAGACGAATGTTTGTCATTTTAAATTGTTAAGTTTGGGCATAATTTATTATGTAACAATAGATAAATAATATACATGGTATAGCTTTTTCTACCCTTTTGTTTTCAACCTGTCCGTGTTTTTATATTTAAAATGACTTTTTTTAAATAACATGTAGTAGGTCTTGCTTTTCAATCCAACCTGACAATTTCTGCCTTTTAACTG